AATTAATCAATTAACAAACTCCTCTTTATTATTATAATGATTTCTCCTTATTGCAACATATATAATTGTATGTCAATAGAGTTATTGCTCTTTTGATTCAGTTGGATTAATGAATTTTGCAAATTTTTTTTTTTTTTTGTCTGTGAGTCCCATGAATCCGTGAATTGTGAGTTTCACATATGCATATATCCTGCGTATAATAATTATTAGTAGTTAGTTGTTTATTATCATAATATGTATAATAAACAGCTAACACTAATAATTATTATACGCAGGATATATGCATATATGAAACTCACAATTCATGGATTCATGAGACTCACAGACAAAAAAAAAAAAATTGCAAAATTCATTAATCGAAAAGAAAGGTATAAATACATATCTAAATATTCTAACATACTCTTGCAAAAATAGATGCACTAAACAAGTTTCTATATAAAATAATCTTTTTTGAAACACCTGAAAAAATTCTTACAAATATAGATTCGCAAGAACAGTGTGTTATTTGTCGAGGTGAAATCTGTGCTAGCTTAAAAAAACCGATAGTAATTTTGTCGTACTACTATTCTTTTCACAAAAAGTGTTTTGAAAAATCAGCCAATACTTATTGCCCACTATGTTGTGTAGAATTTACTGAAGGCTTTTCAAAAATTAACCCAGAATTAGATAACTAATATTATATTCTTAATTAAGAATCTGGTTAGGGAACTTCTACTTATTACGTAAATATAGCCCTCCCAGAGTCAGTCATTTGACACAATCGTTTGACAATTACAAGTTCGATTATTTTAAAACTTGTAATTGTCAAATGATTGTGTCAAACGACTGACTCTGGGAGGGCTATATTTACGTAATAAGTGAAAGTTCCTTAGTTAGGCTAGAGACCACTGAGTAACTGTAAGACTAGTTAAAAAGACCAGTTATTATTCAGTCTTTTCAAACCTGATTTCTTTTTAGAGGTTTGTATTTTTCGCACAAATAAGTGGATGTATTTATCTCTAAGTATGAGATGTATAATATTTATTTAAAGTCCACATATATTGTATTATTATTACAGGCTAGCTATAGTCATCCTTCCATACAATCACACAGTTGGGCACATAGTAACTTTTTTTTTAAAATGTGCTTATAGAGAGGTTGTGCTTATATAGAGGTTTTTTCTTATAAATTAAATTATAGTTTGGCCTAAATAAAAATATAATTACATATGATGTGATTATATGGGAGGTGACTATATAGAGGGACGACTGTAACTAGTATATCTAACAAATATAAATAATACTGAATCAAACCTAAACTCAAAGTACAGGTTAGAACCGGTTTGAATGGAATTTTAATTATAATTTTGCCAAAGATTATTTTTTAAAATTTTTTTGAGCCTTTGAATTCAAAAAGAAAAATTAGTCTTTTACAGCAAAATTGGTCTGAGAATATTTTTACTTAATAGATTAGCTGTGGTTTCATTAGTAAAATTTTGGCCAGCTACCCACTGCAAGAGTGATAGCTACCCTGGAGGACTCTTTAAATCAGGTTGTATACAATATATATTTTTATAGTGATTTAAAACATGAGGTTTTAGTTGGCTGGCTTACTAACTTGGCTTGCTCCTATTTATTCATTTTCTTTTCTGAAATTTACTAAAATTACACCATATATTAAGTCTTGTAATCTTTAGCCATATTAGCCAGCTGATTATATTTTATCAGCTAGATAGCTAGCATAAGTCACTATATTTTTGATTAACTCAGACACCAAGTTCATTTCATTGACAGTTTATTTTACCGAAGCTTGTTAATATAATTTTTTAAAAAAAATTTGGTAGTAAAATAAGCTTTAGTAAAATAACTAGTGTTCACGAAGTGATTGTTAATAAAATTACATGGATCTATTTAAAGCTAGTTTATAGCTAGTTTATCATAGCTTTGCAACCAAATTAAAATGATTTACTATAAATTCGAATATAAATTATGGGTCTGTTTACTTCATTGACAATTATTTTACTAACAGTTTACTCAGCTGATATTATTTATTAACTAATAAACTGCCAACTTTATATAATGTCAGCTAAGTGAAATAATTGTTGATGAAGTGAGTAAGACTAAATTTTTTTGGTATTACTCATAATTTTCAATTTTTAAAATAAAATTTGTTACCATATATTCGCAAAATAACATGCAGACATTATTTAGAATTTTTGGCCTAAATTAAGCTTAATTCAAACCAATTTTCGAAATTAAACCCTGTGTGTTATTTCGTGAATATGTTAGATATTATTGTTATTACATTTATTAATGGTTTTTTATTTCAATTATTTAGTAAATACTACAGCACTAACTACTACCAGCATACCAACTACTACCAACATACCAACTACTACCAACATACCACCATACCAACTACTAATACTATCACACCAATCACCACTACTACTACTGTTTCACTACTGCCTGCTATACCTACTATTATAACCGCCTCACCAACAATAACTAGACCTCCTTCACCTACATCTTCAACTGCGTCTGCTAGCACTACCACTTCTAGAAGTTCTGCTAGAGCAAAAAAATTAAAAAAAGCTAGAGGAATTTTAGATGAATTACTTACTGTTCCGCGTAATAATTATAATGATTCTGCTGATATGATAAATATAAATATTGATGAATATGGAGAACATAATGCAAATGGACTGTCCATAGTTTACTTATATGTTAGTGTATGTTGTGCTACAAAACGCGCTATTAAAGACACTATGCTGAAATTTTAAGTTGGTATAAATTTGCAGAAAAGTATGAAAATAAATTAAATGAGATCTTAAATAATAAACATGTAGCTATAAAAACAGCCAAATCACAAGTTTATAAAGAAATTATTAAACATCTCCATGGTCTTAATGAAGCAACTTTATGAAAAAGAACTCAAAAAGCATTCGTAATCTATATTTTATTTAAGTTTATCGGTATAAACAAAATTAATAGAATAAGAAACTATAGCGCAAATTAAGTTTTTAACCTTACTTCGCAGCAAGTTGAAGTAATTAAAACATATTTTGTATAATAATTTTACTCAGGTGAATATCACGGTGAATTTATGAAATTTAGCTAAAATTTGATCACCAAATCCGAGTATTTTGGCACCCAAAGTAAATCTTAGTTACCAATTTACATATTAATAAATCAATACCAAACTCCAAAAAGTTTTTTTGGACCCTGATCTAGACTGATAACGCATCTAACCCATCTTCTCCACCCTTATTAAACATATAAATTTATTATAACGACGCACCTTAGCTTGGGAAAAATTTCGTATCTTAGCCAAAATCTATATTTATAACTTAGTAGTCAAATTTTTCAAATTTTGGGGTATTTCATAAATTCACCGCAATGAGTATCAAAATTATAATTTATTTTTATACCAGGAATGAAGTATATGGTTATATAGCAAGCGAAAGGATATATTCAAATTCATGGATTGTGTTTTAATGTAATTTTATTGCCAGTTCTTTCTGACAGGACATGCGCATGCAGTACTATATAGATTTTACTCATGTATTACATATCGAACAAATATTATAATGGTGTTGGACATTTAAAATAACTTACCATTTAAGTTATTAGCCATTTGATTTATTTATTACAGACCGATGTACATATCATAATGAATGGACAGTTTGAACATTTGTAAGGTTTTTCTTTTACTTTTATTTTTCTAAAAATATCAGCATAATTCTTACAATTTATATAAAATTTACATAAGAATAATAAATATTGTATTAGGATATTAAGATCTATCTTGTTAAATAAATAATTAAAGTATGTATTTCATATCCTGTGATCACATACAGTACTATCGTGAACCAATCAAGTCAAACCCTACAGCAGCATAATGGATAAAAGAAAAAAAATTAGTAGCGTTGAATGGACATAAAACAAAAAGTAATAAATACATATCTAAACTAGGGCTGTTAGTTGGTCCGTCTAGTCCAAAGACTAGCAGTCTTTTAAAAAGTTAGACTGGGCTGCGGCTCTTTACATATTAAGTTTGACCAATTATAATTCTAAACCATTTAATATTAGATACTTTCCTGTCCTAGCTTTGCATAATAATATCACACAACTACTTTATTTATATTTTTTATTATATATAAATAATTCATTTTTATTATATTTTTTTAAAAAAATTTAGGTTTAATTTTTTTTAAAGTAAATTATCAAATTATCTGTAATTATAACATCCATGTTATTGTTGTATATAACATACCTTAAAAATTCAATAGAGAACAATAAAATACAATAAAATACTCAAGTAAATTTTAAAACACTTTATTCAGACCAAATTATTCCACGCCTAACAAATTTAAATTTTGGGTAGTTTTAGTATTCGTTTCTCTTACATATTACCGGTTTCACCACAGCCTTTCACAATATCATACAAGAGATTTTTTTCTTTTTTATTCTGTTTGATGACAAAATAGTTATAAATCTGTGGATAAATCAATGTATTGAGACCATTATTGTGGCCCAATATATTCGATTTCAACCATGCTTTATATTTATACTATTATACTGATATTTTTTTTCATACACACTGGTAAAAAAGTCAATTATTAACTAAATAATAACCAGTAATTTCTAGTACAAATTATAACTTATTTACTCTTATTTACTATATATTTACTAGATAATATATGCATTTAAACATATTAACTAAAAATATATAAATGACACAAATTATTTAGTAAATATATAGTAAATAAGTTCTAATTTTTATCAGAAATTACTAGTTATTATTTAGTTAATAATTGATTTTTTTACTAGTGACAGTTTGTAATTGAGGTATCGTTAGACTTAAATAAGTTCTCCTAGTTTTGAGAATATGTGGACATGCATGTCCGTAAGATCATATGATACATGTGATTATTAAATATACAGTTCAGTTAAACCTTTACATTTAGCTGTTTGCCTCTTTTGAAACCCAAATCACATATTTAAAGCCTCTTATAAAAGCTTATATTTTAACTATTTGAAGGTTAAACTCCAAGCATTCATTTATTATCAACACCCGGTTACTATAAAAATTCTGCTTTCAATGACTACAACATGTAGTTAAGGTGAGTTAGCATCAGAATTATCATAATTGTAAATAATTTCACACAGAACCTACGTACTAGACTGTACTAGTTCACGATCGACTTTGATAATATTAATGCCTAGTTCATGATTGAATCAATGTCATTAATTTGACTGTAAACTTGTTCACAATCGACTTTGGTGATATCAGAAAATTTATCCAATAGATTGTAAAATAAACTTACGATTCGAGTTTGATCCATTTTTGATGCCTGGTAATCTTGAGATTGGATCTGGATGATTTTGGTACTATTTAAATTATCTCAATAAAATGATTCGAATAGTACCAAAATTATCCAGATCTAATCTCAAGATTACAAGATATCGGAGATTGATCAAATTCTTAATCGTGAACTAGTTCATGATCGATTTGAGTTTGATCCATCTTTGATGCCTAGTAATCTTGAGATTGGATCTGGATGAAATTGGTACCATTCGAATTATCTTAATAAGATGATTCAAATGGTATCAAAATCATCTGAATTCAATCTCAAGATCACAAGATATCAAAGATGTATCAAATTCAAATCGATCGTGAACTAGTTCACGATTAAGAATTTGATCAATCTCCGATATCTTGCGATCTTGAAATTAGATCCAGATGATTTTGGTACTATTCAAATCATCTTATTAAGATAATTTGAATAATACCAAAATCATCCGGATCTAATCTCAAGATTATCAGACATCAAAAATGGATCAAACTCAAATCGATCGTAAGTTTATTTTACAATCTATTGGATAAATTTTCTGATATCACCAAAGTCAATCGTGAACAAGTTCACAATTAACATTAAAGTTCCAAATGACCGTAAACTAAGACTTAATTGTCTAAATTTTCTGTTATTACCAAAATCAAATGTGAATTAGTTCACGACTAACATTAAAGTTCCAAAGTTGATTCACGGCCGTGAACTAGTTTACAATTGGGCAAATCTGGCTACTAGAAACATGCACAACATACAAAAATAAATTAAAAATTAGCAAAATTTATATTAACAAGTGATATTCAATCGTAAAACATTTCCATCATACCTGCATTTACTGTATTGAAAGTAGTATTGGTGGTACGCCACATATATACCAATAAGATCTTCTAGTGTGTGGAGCACCTGACGGTATACCAACATATTGTCTAATGCTAGTAGCTTCATATATATGTTTACCTCCAACTACAACTATATCTTGTTGCTATATTACCCTATAATATTAGGCTAAAACTAAACAAAAGTTATTTTGGAAAACTCTACACACATGCATATATTATATTACATGTATAAAATAAATTTAAATATGATTTGCATGTGCGTATATTATATTATACGTATACACGCCCTTATATAAAATAAATTTAAATACAATTAATACGTATATATATTATATTACACATTGTAAAAGGTCCTGTCGTCCCCACCATAATTTTTTCTTTTTTTTCTATTATTATTATTATTATTATTATTTATTATGTTAGTTGATTCATTATTATTTTATATGTAAACAGTAATAGCATAGTTTAACTTAGTTAATGGAATTCAGATCTAGATTCAAAGGATAAATCCAATAAGTATAATTTAGCATAGTTAATGGAATTCGGGTGGTCTTTCGCCTAGATTCAAAGGATAAATCCAATAAGTAGGATAAATCTGCTTTATCCGCTTTAGCAAATTTTTTCTCTTGGTTTCAACCAAAAGCCCTAAAAATAGTAAAATCACTATGAAATTCGAGTAGAAGTGTTAAATATAAATCTCTTTCAATAAAGACTTAAGTCGTATAAAGTAAAACCTTTCTTGTCTCGGTGATCTTGATATATTCCTATTTCTAAATTCTAGTCAAAGAAAGAAAGAAAAAGCATCTATTACTAATCCAAAACCCCTCTTATAAAAAATATATACTATTGATTAAACTATTGATTAAACTCTGATCCATAGTGTTACCCAAATCGGATCTAAATCGATACCACGATTTTAATTTCAACCACATAATCCACGTGACAATCGTTAAGAATCTTAACAATTGAAGTCAAATATCAGAACCTGATAAAGTAAAACCTAAGAAAAGGCATTATCTTTAGCTTCCAACTGAAGCTTACAATCAAACAATCAAGATATAATTCAAGAATATACTTATCTGAAATATTAGTATCGCCGCAACAATAGCATTCAATAAACTAGTTATCACTTTTTCAGCATGTATATATTATATTACAAAATAAATTTAAATATGATTAGTGCGTGCGTATATTATATTACATATATATGCACCCTCAGAGATAGTAAATGACCTTAAATGACCTTATGACTCAAGTGAATAATGACCAATGATCAGTTATTTAAAGGAGTGAAATAACATATTGGGTCATTTGAAAAATATACTGTATATTCCTGAAAATAAGCTATTTTTTTAAAAGATTTTTTGAATTCAAAAAAATAAAGAGCAACTTATTTTCAGGTTTTTCGAAAAATTTTTGCTCAACAAAAGGATAGCTTATTATCAGGTATTTATTACAAAAATCTCATACATATCCAATTAATAAAACATAGTACCCATGCTGTACTTGGCAATACCGGCCCTAGCGTACATATAAGCTTAACTGCTGAACTGTTGCTGTGAAATTATTCTGAGCTTTTATTTTTTATTTTTTATTATTAAATTTTAATTTTTTTCGATTTAAATTAATTTTGGTTTAGTGGTTTTAAAACTTACCTCTATTTCAGCAATGTTGATGATATGTGAAGTTATTTACATTAGAAATGCTATAATTTCTATCATGAACTACTTAAA